TTTTTTTTTTTTTTCAAATTTTTGTTCTCGTTTTTGCAACGCATTTGGTTCATTTGACCTTTAGCAGTGAAAAGAAAAGGGAAGGGAAAAACACATCTGGCAGTGTTGATATCAATTGCCATTGGAAGATTCACAAACAATCACAAAACTAGTAATGTCTTAAATACAATAATGCTGGAGAAATAATGGCCCTTAGATTAAGATCAAGGGCTGAGGAAAGAAATAGATGAAGAACAAGACAAAGACTATCTAAAAGTAGCTAAACCACATGTGCTGTGCATGGGGGACTACCATGCTTACGTCCGAAAAGGGAATAAAAAATAAAGACTTTGTCTTCATGAGAGTTATGCTATTAAGTGTGGAGATGAGTAAATATGAAGTCACGGGGGGTGTCAATGTTGGTGTGCTCCATATTAAGTGACTATACAGTTGGGCACTTGGGCTTTGCATTAATGGCGTCGCTGTTTTCACTCCGAATATTGCAAGTGTTATTAGTTGAAATGTCATCTCCATTTTTCCACGGATTTTTTTTATTCATATCTTCCTCAATAGTCTTTCCCTTTTTCTATTTATAGCCAAGGTCTATCTTTATCGGGTGACGTTAGCTTTCACGTTTTTTCAACAATGTGATTATGGCCTCATTGTACTAAGTCATCTCGTGAAGTTTGGAGGGGACCAACATTGATGTTAAAGTTTGTCGAGTTGTACTTAATTGATTATTGATGTTAAGGTAGAATCGCATTATATGAGGATATGTTCTCTGTTTTTTTTTTTAAAGAGAATATTGGGTAAATGTTAGATATATGAAAATGTTATCAATAATAGTTCGAACTGTACACTAGAATGTGTACCACGTTCTGTCTGCAGAATAGAGTTATTAAGAGAATTTGGAACGGATAAATGATCTATTCGTGACTTTTATTTCACTAATGTAAGAGAATTTTCTCATACATTAAATGTTGCGTCCCCTTCATTTTATAGGAAAAATTGAGGTCTCATGTTAATCCTCTTGGGAATTTTTATTTAAATTTATATATGAATAGATATTATGTGGATATTATGTGACACCGCATTTAATGCTTAATACTATATAATTCAATTTCAATGCGGATAGAGAAATGAGGATTATACAGACGAGTCGATTTCTAATTTTCTACATTTGCATGCTCGACAGCACAGATGAAGGCATAAGTGTTTGAGGTCGATTTGCACGGCGTATCCCCAAGAGCAGCTGATTGTTTTCATTCCTGATGACACAAAAAAAAAAANAAAAAAAAAGGGAAAAACAATACAAAATAAAAACTAAAAAAAAAAAAGAGAAAAGAATAGGAAGCCATGATGGCAGTAATTGCGGTATAGCCGAATACTTAGAATATTGCTAAATTTAAATTAAGAATGAGAAAATGTTAGGCGCCATCTTTGTGTAAAGTGAGGCGTTTTAGCAAGATCATGTTAATATATTTTTCCTTAAATGATTATTTAAAAAAAAAAAAGTTAATAAATAGTGTAAATGTTAAGCACTGAGGATCATAAAATTTGTATGAAATTAACCTGAGGAATTTAGGTTGAGTTTTATGTAATTGAGACGAGAATTGGGGAAGAAAAAAGTAGAAAGAGAAAGGAGAAAGAGATAGAATTAGTTGTGATTTTTCATAATAATCATTTCCAAACGTCTGACAGGCCAGATGACATGAGAGAAGAGAAGAATTTGTGAAGAGAAGACAAACAATTGCTTAGGTTAAGCAATTGCTTGAATAAACAATCCACAAGCAATGAGAATTTGTGGGCCAATGAACCAGAAAATGGCGCAAGACATGAGAGAGAGGATGAGAAATCCAAAATTGCTTCAACCAGAATTTAATTTGTGGGGTATATATGGGACCCGCATGAGTTGCTAATAAGCAATTCACCATTGTGGGATTGAATTGCTTAAATCATAGAATTGCTTAATGGCACAGGGTCCCACCAAAATAATACTAAAATATTCTAAACAATTGCTTATTTAGACAACCATTGTACATGGTCTAACAAACTAGGAAACGGGCCTAACTACAACAGGTGGTCCAACACTAACATAATTCAAAATGGTTAAAATACTAAATAACAATAATAATAATGGGTTAAGCCCAATTAACTTAAGGATCTGCCCACTTGTGACCCAATAACTTCCACCAACTCTAGTCCGTATCAAAAATCCTCTGCCTTTTGATCGATGGCAAAATTCATTTCATCTTCAACCTCAGTAAACCCTAATCCCTCAGCCATCAACCTTCTTATTAACACCTTCATCCTCTTCAGATCTGCCATTTTCCGAGCAAAGGTAGAAGCTTTCCAACCAAAGGTGACGGCTTTTCTTCATTCGCGATTGGGTACATGACAGTACACCGGATGAAAATAACAGTATCACATGAGGCAACTAGTCTCTTTGCGCTCACGAGTCACGAACACACTCCATCCAGTTGTAAGGAGATGCCTCTTAGGCTGACCTGCACGCTCGATTAAATCGAAATAAGAAGAGAGATTGCCTTCAAATATTTTCTTGAGATGAGAAAGAAACAATAACTGATGACAGAATATATATATATACATTTTGAGTAATAACACCAGCACGAATACACATATGTCAAAAGTTTGTCAATCTAACATTTTCTATTTTTTAAAGAACAAAAATGTTGCAACTTACATGCATAGTAAGTAACATTTGAAGCTGCTGAGGTTGTAACCCGGGATAGTTAGGTATGGTAGCATCTATTGGTAGAGGCAGCAACCTGACCTGTAAACAAATTATTTGAATATCTAAATAACAAATTCGAAAGTAACCTTAGGATATCTATTATCTAAATTAGCTTCCAAAATCAAGAGGGGGAGTAAAATAAAACTTGTAATCGAAAAAAGGATACCCATAAGTAACACATTAAAAATCAGTTACTGCCAGCCAAAGATATCTCTACAGACCAACAAAAAATGGGAAAAAGGGATAAATGAATGTCAATCTCTCAATTGCAAACTTTTTTTCTTTTCCTGCACAAATTCATCTGCTTAACTAAGACTAATGCAGTAAATTTAAACAGATCGAAGTTGAAATTAAGATCCTTTCAGAAACCTGTTCACTGCTATGTCCCTGAGGAAAATACACAGACGAAACAAGTGGGCCACACATGCATGCCACAGCTCTGAGTTGAAGCATTTCTTCTCTCCTGGAGCTTAAAAAAAAAAAAAAAAAAAAAAAAAAAAAAAAAGGGAAAGTCTCTGCTGTCCGTCAGCCTCTCTCGGCATGGACTTGTGGATCCTGCAAATTCGGATCATGTTATGAGATCAGACGAAAATAAACTTTCAAAACAGCTGACAATTTTGGCAAATCTACGTAAGCTCAGGTCAGGTTTGAAGTGGATATAGTTAATCCATCTGTCAAAAACAAAGATGATGCTCATAACAAAAGGTGGCACCATAAAGTATATAAGATGGCAAAGAAAACAGCAAGTTACAAAGGTAAGGTTCTCTGCGAAAGTGCAAATAGACAAATTAGCTGACTTTCTTATTTTTTGTGAACGGACTAGATCATAAATAGACAAATTAGCCAATGCGTGATATATAATAGGGACAACCTTCACAAGAAAAAGACCAGAGAAAGACAAGGCAACATAAGCAAACATATTCAGTATTTAGATGTGGTGCGTCCGAACCATAATAAGCACTCACCGTAGGCCTTGTGAAGACTGAACAGACCGTATTTTCATGTCCAGAAAGTGCATGAATTTGCATTTTGCTGCGAGTATCCCACACCTTATCATCCACAGGTAAAAGTAATTTAGTATATATTCTAGCTTGTTCTTTATACGTTTACCCGAAACGCAAAATAACATACACATGGAAATGGAATATCAAAACAATTATACATACCCGACATACGGAATCTCGCCCACCAGTAAACAAAATGTCAATAGTGGGATGAAGAGCCAAGCAATAAACACCATTTAGATGACCATGGGAAGAACGAATAACCTGAAAAAAAAATATTAAACTCACTTATTTTAGATGGTGCAGCTATTAAATTAAATCAAATCACCAGGGTACCTTGTTCTGCTCTAGGTCCCAACATTTAACTAATTTGTCATCACCAGCAGAAAACATGTATGTGTGCTTGCTGCTAATAGCAAGACCTGCCAATAATAAGTAAATGTTTCATCGAATGGTTCATAAATGTCTGTTACCCCAATCAAAAAAGGAAGAAAGAAAGAATTACCTCGTACTTGGTCAATGTGACCAGTAAGCGTCAGTTTCACGCGGCCACTTGCTAAGTCCCATATCTGACCACCAGAAGAATGCTGGAGTTAGGCTAAAGATGCAAAAGGGAAACCAAGCACAACTTACACAAGATTAATGAAATATACAACTCGATTCCAGTGACTTCCAGAACCAGGACCAGTTCATTATCTTATGATAATCGAGCATTGACAAAGAACGCTGTCCGCTAAAACAGCATTCACAGATTACATGACCTCAGCTAGCCCATAAATTTAAAAGGTAGATCATGTCTTTAGTGCAATTTTCCATGACTACCTATGTTTTATGTGAACGCTTTCAAGAAAACAGAATTAAATTTCAAACCTTGATTGTTCGATCAGCAGATCCTGTGCAAAACCAATTATTACTTGGGTCAACAGCAACGGATCGCACCCACCCCAAATGGCCACTAATGATGACCTACACAAGTAAGTGGCTGCATTACAGGTTCAAAATTAAGGCAGCAAAGGCAAAACAAGAGTTTATAGAGAACATTTTCATATGATCTATGGAGACCCCCCACAAACATTTTCCTGCACAATCTTATCCAAAGAACTGAAACAGATATGCCTCCAATAGAAATTCCTCACCATAAACTGATCGAGCTTATTGTTGTCGCCCAGGCGGCCAAGGATGGAGAATTTCTCACCCATCTGTTGCAACTGGGCGAGATGGGCATTGATACTCAGAAACTGATGCACCAGCAATGAGATCCTTAGGCACGTCATGTGCGACGACATGGGTCATGCTATCCGGCTTGCACATCTCACTCTGCCACTCCACCGCTTTGCGTGGCCTGCAAAGTGACTTGTCTGTCAGGTCTGCATAGTCAAACGGGGACGGGATGCCGCCGGCTGCAACCAATCCACTGATATGTCCATGTCATGTCAGCCAATAGGATCACTTTCTGCCTGACGAAGACACGCAACATATATGAACAAAAAGCAGAGTCTTAATTGAAAGGATTATATAACAACTGAAATCACGTAAAACTAAATAAAAGCATATGCGGAAAAGATCGGATTTTACCTTATGAAATCGTTTGTTTGCAATGCTGTTAAGTAGCACAGGCAACAATCAATTTCCCACCAGCAGCAGCAATCTATTTTGGCCAGAAGAGTACATCACTCTTTTCCAGTTGCATAAATAGATCAAATTAGCATCATTAGACAATTCGAAATTGGGCACAAATAAATAAATGCCCTGCCCGGGGTTCCACGAAGGTGGGCTGCGGCTCTCCTTGTGGAAGGAAAGAGAAAATCACCGTTAAAGCCGTTGTCGGTGTCGAGATTCAAAGTGCAACCACTTTTTGTAGTTTCTCATGGCTTAGGTAGGGCTTTGAAGAGAGGAGGGATTGGTTTTTCAATGGTTGGTTGTTCTGTTCTCACCCTCGCTAAAGTCTCACGTAGTCACTTATTAAGAATTAAGTTTACTCAACTAATAACCCCCAAAAAGTTGGTTAAAGAAGGGTTATTTAAGTGAATTTACAAATTAAACTTTCTAATACGGCATCGTTTTGTTGGGCAAAATTTATAAAAAGAGAATAAATAAATGCAAGTAATTAATCGTGGTAAAAATGAGGAAGCAAGCCCAGCAGAAGATGGGCCACGTTGAGGCCTTAGAATTCAACTCGCTCAACACAAAATGTGCCACGTGTCAAGCAAAAATGTCTTGCATTTTTTTAATGCCTTTAAATAATTAAAATAAAAAATTATTATTTAAATGAAGAGTTAAATTTTGATCACACATTTTGTATCAATCTAGTGAATAGTAATGAGTCTCACATTCCCACTTTAAGAATGTGTCCTCATTGGAACCAACTCCTATATATATATATATATATGATTATATGGTAAAATAATTACAAATTATTGTTTCACTTTTTTTTAATGTAAAATGTCACGGTTAGTTTCTATAATTAAATAAAAAATAAATGGGAAAATATTGTTCAATAATTTATAATAATATAGATATTATCCCAAACAAAAGTTTAGGGTGAAAAGATATTTCTTAACTATATTATAAATTTACATGATTTACACTTTAATAATTTGACTAGATCCATTCCTTTGCACGAAAATCCAAAAACCATTCACGCTCATTAATTCCAGACTCAGACCTTTCTTCTTTATCAGCACTGTACTCTCTCTCTCTCTCTCTCTCTCTCTCTCTCTCTCTTTCTCACCCTGTACAGCGCACAATGGCGGCAATGGCCAAATACCTAAACCCAAACCCTTTAACCACCGTCGCCTTATTCCTCCTCTTCATCCACCACGTCGCCGCCGCATTAGACCACCTTGATGTTCCACCCCTCCTACTCTTCAAATCCGCTGTCGACCCAAACGGCACCCTCTCGTCTCTTGAAACTCATATTCCGACCCATGCACAAGCTCATGGGTCGGACTCTCGTGCATCCACAACCGGGTCGCCCGTTTAGTCCTCAAGAACATCAATCTCCACGGCTCCTTCCCCCATTCCCTCACTTCCTTAAACCAGCTCTGGGTCCTCAGCCTCAAGTAAAATGGATTTTCGGGTCGGGTCCTAAATCTATCCGCCCTCACCAACCTCAAACTCCTTTTTATTTCGCACAACAAATTTTCTGGCCGAATTCCGCCCTCGTTATTTTCCCTCTCCAACCTCTACCGACTCGATCTGTCCTACAATAATTTCTCAAGCAGTATACCGCTAGGCATGAACCGGCTGACGCACTTGCTGAGGTTGAGCCTCGAGGAAAACCGGCTCGCGGGGCCCATTTCGAGTCTGAACCTACCCAGCTTGCAGTACTTTAACATTTTCGGAAACGGGTTGACGGGTGAGATTCTGGGCTATCTCTCGAGTTTTCCCTACTCATCATTTTCCAACAATCCCAACTTATGCGGGCCTCCACTGCAGAAATGTATTTGGCTCTGTCTCGTCTCGGTGGAGCCATAGCCTCTCATGTCAGCCCGAAAACAACTATTTCGTCATCCCCCATAGATATGTCGGCCCAAACGAACAGTCCCACAAAGGCCCGAAATGTTAACGGGAGCAAAATCAACTGGTTCGCCATAATAGCCATAATAGTTAGAAATGTTTTGGTTTTGGGGTTTATTGCTTACAGTTTGTACGACTTTTTCTGTTTAAGTAATTCTAGTACATTGTTGGAATGGTGCTTCTTGGGTGCATGCTAATGCAGTTGTAATGAAGAGAAGACAATTTTATGTTTTTTGTTTCTGGTCGCGTTTCTTCATGCTATCTTTGTTTTTACACTTTTCTCGTGTTGGGTGACCAGAAAAGTGTAAAAACAAAGATAACATGAAGAAACGCAACCAGAAACAGAAAACATAAAATTGTCTTCTCTTCATTACAACTGTATTAACATGCACCCAAGAAGCACCATTCCAACAATGTACTAGAATTACTTAAACCTAAAAAGTCGTACAGAATGTAAGCAATTAACACCAAAAAAAGAACATCTCCTATTGCTATGGCTATTATGGCGAACCGGCTGGTTTTGCTCCCGTGTGCATTTCGGGCTTTTCTGGGCGGGTTTTTCTGGGCCGACATAGCTGTGGGGGATGACGCAATGGTTGTTTTCGGGCTAATAGGAGAGACCATGGCTCCACCGGGACGAGACAGAGCCAAATACATTTCTGCAGTGGAGGCCCGCATAAGTTGGGATTGTTGGAAAATGATGAGTGGGGAATACCCGAGAGATAGCCCGAAATCTCACCTGTCAACTCGTTTCCCGAAACGTTAAAATCCTGCAAGCTGGGTAGGTTCAGACCCCAAATAGGGCCCGTGAGCCAGTTTTCCTCGAGCCTCAACGTCAGCAAGTGCGTCAGCCGATTCATGCCCAACGGTATACTGCCGGAGAAATTATTGTAGGACAGATCGAGTCGGTAGAGGTTGGAGAGGGAAAATAACGAGGGCAGAAATTAGCCGAAAAATTTGTTGTGCGAAATGAAAAGGAGTTTGAGACTGGTGAGGGTGGAGAGATTGGGGACCCGACCCGAAAATCCATTTTGCTTGAGGCTGAGGACCTGGAGCTGGGTTAAGGAAGTGAGGGAATGGGGGAAGGAGCCGTGGAGGTTCATGTTCTCGAGGACTAAACGGGCGACCCGGTTGTGGATGCACGAGAGTCCAACCCATGACCCTGTGCATGGGTCGGAATAGGAGTTCCAAGAGGCGAGAAGGGTGCCGTTTGGGCCGACGGCGAATTTGAAGAGTAGGAGGGGTGGAACAACAGGGTGGTCTAATGCGGCGGCGACGTGGTGGAGGAAGATGAGGAATAAGGCGGCGGTGGTTAAAGGGTTTGGTTTTAGGTCTTTGGCCGTTGCCGCCATTGTGTGCTGTACAAGGTGAGAGAGAGAGAGAGAGAGTACAATGCTGATAAAGAAGAAAGGTCGAGTCTGGAATTAATGAGGGGGAATGGTTTTTGGATTTCCGTGCAAGAAATGGATCTAGTCAAAATGTCAAATTATTGAAGTGTAAATCATGTAAATTATAATATCTATATCTATCTATCTATATCTAAGAGCAAGGCCAGTGTAAATCATGTAAATTATAATCTCTATATCTATTTATCTATATGTACGAGCAAGGTCGGATAACCGTATTCAGAGTGTGTTCTGTAGGTAGTTCGTTAAGATATCCGAGTTGAAGTAATAGTGATGTCAAGTCGTTCACGAATCCCATATTCTCCATTATCTGAGACAGAAAACACAAGGAGACAGAAAACACAAAATTACATATTTTTTGTGAAACAAATTCATAAAGAAGTACGATAATTACATTAAATAAAGCACATTGAGGAACTATATCAGCTATAATTGGTACACGCAAGAAAAGTGTACACTGCATAACAATTTTAACATCATTTTACCAACCTGACTATTGAGGAGCGAAAAGAATAGACTTACATTCAAGGATGAACCAAATTGAACAACACCATGAGGAAGAACAGGAATAACTGCAACCGTCCGATCGCAAAAATTATAAGAAAGAAATAGTCAGACTACCAAATCACAGTGACATGATGAAGTAATAAAAGGACAGGAAGAAAAAACAGGCAAAATTATTGATTCTGTACCTTCATACCGGCTGCAAATTGTAGGCACAACTCATTTTGAACCTGTAAACGTCTACAATAGGTAAGAGGTATGTTATATGTAACAGAGAAAACCCGACATTCATTAAATAGAAAATCCATTAGAACCTAACATATATTCAGACTTTTGGCGACAACTTATTTTAACCAAGACAAGTCTGATAGTTTAAGTTCTTATCTTTCATAAATTAAAAAAAAAAAATTATATATATATAGATTTCACATTATAGCTGCAGTGATTTATGCAATAATTCATTCTTGGAAGTGAACAGAATGAGTCACGTAAGGACATTCAAATTAAGACACGATATTGTCTGAGATAAATTTAGTGAAAGAGCTGTGAAATGAAAGATTTAAAGCAGCATCAGCTGAATCATGATTAAAAGTTGTCATATTTATTTTAAAAAACTAATATAAGCCTCTTCATTTTTTTTTTCTTTTTCCCGCTAAAAGATGAGTACACTTTCTTTCAAGTAGTGGAAAAAACTCCCATAATACCTCTGATGGCTGAGCTTCTCTATAATAATTCTCAGCTAGGACCAGGGAATGAGGGGAGTCCAGCTGTCCGTGGCCGCTTCAATCTGAGGGAAAATGGAGAAGGGTACATAGGAAAAGTTGTCAGAGGTTCGATCTCCCACAATGAGACTCTCGGTTGCCTTTCGCCTGCAGTCGATTCGTCCCAACCAACCTGAAAGAGAAACCGATGTATAAACAAATCACCCGTAAATGAAAATTTTGAATTTTTAGAATTCTATGTTCATACCTTCCTTCAGTGAGCGCCAATGAGAGTTTGACCAACGAACTGGATCCAAGTCGTTGATGCCCGTTATTGTACTTATATACCTGAGACCAGAAAAAGTACAGTATAATGCTTTACAACATAATTGGTAGCTTCTTATTATATTCGGAAGAATATTAATGAGCCGTATGCTACTTTAGGCAAGATACAACATTTTCTCTATCAAGCATGAACTTATGCACAAAAAAAAAAAAAAAAATGTAGCTCTTTCCATTTTTAGACAAATTATCCTACCTACGAACAGTCGATTCTTTTGTCTCGAATAGCATCCGAAAAAGCATGCCTACAGAAACTCTAGTATGATAAACTGCTTTGGCATATTTTGCTAGAGGTATCACAAACTCGGGCGGGCTCGCCCTGAAATTTGCAAAATAATCGCGAATAAGGAAGTGTTTTGATCTGATATATACCGATATAAACATTTACCTTGGATCATAGAAAATAGTAAAAGGGATACTAGTGGCTGCTGCATGTGCAGCAGCAGCAAGAAGCCCAACTCGACAGCACAGATGAAGGCATAACTGTTTGAGGTCGATTTGCACGCGTATCCCCAAGAGCAGCTGATTGTTTTCATTCTTGATGACACTAAAAAAGGAAAAACAATACAAAATAAAAACTGCGGTATAGCCGAATACTTAGAAAAAACAAAGATGATGCTCATAACAAAAGGTGGCACCATAAAGTATTTAAAAAACAAAAAAAACAAGTGGACAAAAACAAAAACAAAAAAAAAGGAGTG